GTTCCTTTGTAATTAAGCCTAATATACCATTTGCTTCCTTAATTGTTTGATCCTGAATATTACTTTCTCTGTGATTCATATACCCAGGGATTTCCCACTTTATAGAATCATAGAGTCATATAACACAGAAACCCTTCGGTCCAACTCATCCATGTTGACCAAGTTTCCCAAACAAAACTAGTCCCACTTGCCTGCATTTGCCCATATCCCTCTAAACCTTTATTATCCATGTACCTCCACAGATGCTGCCAGCCACTGATTGGCCAGCAACTCTCAGGAGGTGGGATTTCCACCCCTCGAGCCTTGATTCCAGATGAGGCCCATTGATGGCTGATTCCATTGTCCTTTGGCAGGCCTTTTCATGAAGAAACTGATCAGGACTCTCACGGGGCTATCTAGTCAATAGGCAATTGCCTTGATGCTACAATAAGACTTCACCTTATATTCCATCTGCCATTTTTTTCTCCCAAGCACTGAACTTGTCTAAATTCTTTCCCAGCTTCTTTGCATCCTCCTCGTAACTTACCTTCTCATCTAACATTGCACCATAAACAAATATTGATAAATTACAAACAAAAACAGAAATTGCTGGAAAAGCTCAGCACATCTGGCAGCATCTGTGGAGAAATCAGAGTTAACTTTTCGGGTCAATTGAACCTTCGTCAGATAAAATATACTTGCTGTCTTCAAGAAACTCATTGATAAACAGCAAAAATGGTTGAGGCCCAAGTGATGAAGCACTCATTTTAGTTTACCAACCCCAAAATAACCTGTTCATTACAACTCGAACCTTATATATATCTGATTAACTATGACTTGGATATACAAGCCGAATTTCAATATTTGTAAATGACACAAATCTTGGAAGGATAATGAGATGTGAGGGGGATAGTATTCGTCATTGAGAAAGCATAAAAGATTAAAGAACTGGGACATGGCAGATGTCATATACCAAAAACCAGTGCCAAAAAGGTCATCCATTTTATTAATAGTTCAAATTCAAGATCCAAACTTTCGATACAAGTAAATCCTCTTCAAAAATATTGTGCTGTTGTGAAGTAGGGCTAAAAGAGATGGATATAATGAGGACAGATTGTGTTACCATGGCCTGTGTTCCTTGGAGTTTAGAAGATAGAGGCATGATCTAATTGGAATACTTAAAACAAACAACAGTTTTGATAGAGAAACCATTCCTTCAGGTGGGAGAATCTCAAATTCAGAGCTCACCATTTAAAAGTGAATCAAAAAATCTGTCTTACGATATTGGCTTAATTGCATGTGATCAATTTGTGTCAATGAATTTTTACACTCTTTACGAGTGTCTCATTGTGTAACTACAAGACAATGTTTTTAGTCATGTCTACTTGAAGAATGTATAACCTCCAATGATGCAAGGTGACTAAAAATTCAACTGTGCAGTTTTACCTTTGATTAGGCTTATATAATTTTTTCTTGCAACAGCAGATTAGCAAGGTTAAAAAGAAGCTGAGAAGTTTAGTGAGAAGGACCTGAGCTGGGGTGAGTTGATATATTGCAGAGAGAGTGAGCCATATTATTTCCCATTTTCTTTAAATTTTGAGAGGTGATTTACAGTGGGCACATTATGATTTATGTTTAAAGAAATGGATGTTAAAAATAACTTATGCCCAAATTTTTGTGACAACTCGCTATAAAATGCACTTGTTTTCTTTGACCTTAAAGATATCAAAGGTGAACTATTGGAACACATCCTGTTTGCTGCAAGTAGATGAAACTCTGTTTTATTCAAAGTTAATATCAGTAGCTGCATGGTACATTGTCACATTCTTGTTTATCTTTCTTAACATAGAATTACCATTCTTATCCTGGATTGCTAAGTAGCATAGGTTCACTTTACTTGAAAATGTCAAAGAGGTTTACCTGCCAGACTGATACTTTGCAATTTATGTATATACCTTCAGTCTACTTTGCTGCTGCTTGAAGTCCTCATGGCTGCTGGTCAAGTGATGTCATCATGGTCCTTGGTCCTGCTCCTCTGATGCTGCTTGGCCTGCTGTGTTCATCCAGCTCTACACCTTGTTATCTCATGGTCCTTGGAACAGCTCTCAAAGCAGTGACGCAACTCATATTACTGAGCCCTCAAGGGACTGGCCAGCAAATGGAGGAAGTATACATCATGTGTAAAGTAGCGAGGAAAGTTTGGGGAGGGTTGTATGTCCATCAACTCCTTCCTATTATGCCTGGTCACCATAGTCAGGGAAGGTGGATGTTGGTTGTCTCATATAAAGGCTGACTGAGCCATTGGAATGGTCAGCTAAAAGTCTTTTCCCATCATGAGTGTCATTTTACTAGTGGCGGATGGGCCCTGTCTCACATGAGGAGACAATTGGGTAAATCCAGGTGCCTCCCCTCCACAGATTCAGGGAAGGGTAAAATCCAAGTTTTTTTGTGCTCTCTGTGATGGATCTGCTGCCCGTGGTAATGGGCAAACCACATAGTTATTACTTGGCTATGACCTGTACTTTTGCCAAATTTCCCAATACATCACTTTCTGGGGTCTGAGTGACTAGTCCCAGTGCCCCCAAACCCCACTAACCTGGTTCAATGGGCAGCATGCTTTCTGTGGAATCCCCATCTTTCAGGCACAGTTCCAGCAGTCACTAATGCTCCTGATGGTGCTAATATCATGTGGTACTGCTGATACTCAGATTGGCTTGTGGCTCCTGGGGTGGGCAGGCATCCGTTAAAGGAACCAGTGCCCTAACAGCAACTAATTGGTGGACTGTCCACCCAAAGGCGCAACTGAGGATCCTGCAAACAACTGAGGTGGGGGGAGGATGGATGCTTTAGAGGAGAGGAACATACACTACTTTCTGTTCCATCCACAGAACCCTGGCAACAGCAATGAAATTCATCCTGAAATGAGGAAGTGTGACCAGCAGTTAAATGAAGTCTGCAGCCTCAAATGGGGAAGGTGGCCTTTCAGACTTTTACTCTGGGCAGCAATTTTCAATTCGGATCATATCGGGATGACACAGTCTCTTGTCTCCACCAATTTGTTTATCCTTTTGTGAGACCAAATGTATGCGGGGACTTCAGACATATCATGGAGCTACATCCTCTAGCTACAACCTACTTTCCTCTTACATTGGTGGGTTTCTCAAGCCACAGGCCAGAAGTGTTTGTGCCACAAAAATGGAGTGTGATAACCTCTCGCAGGTCTACAGCTGGGTTGCACTCTTGCCTGATTGATGCCAGAAACCCAAACGATTGCAGTCTCACATTAATCTCGCAATACTCATTGACATTAATGTCAATACTGGTATTTGTGAGGGATTCAGTTTATTCACGGGTCAGAGGGCCAAAGGTGGTGTTTAACTTAATAATGAATAGGGAAGAGGAATGTTCAACTGAAGTTTAGTGAACTGCTAATGAAGAGCTATGGCTGCAGAGAAATGTTGCAGTCCACCTGTTTGGTCACCATCCCTTCTATTTTCTGCACCATGTAAAGGTATCCATCACACTGCAAAACACTAGTGAAAAATGGTGTCATAGTAGTCATGAGACTGGACTAGTAATCCAGAGGTCAAGATCAATGCCCTGGGGTCATAGGTTCAAATCCCATCATGATACCTTATGAAATCTAAGGGTATTTATTGTGCAGTGGAAGTGTCACTACTTTTGGACTAGAAACTCTAGGTTTAAGTCTTACTTGGTCTGGTGGTGTGTCACAACATATTTGAATTGGTTAATTTAAAATGTCTGCAGCAAAACACTGAGATAACAAGGTGTAGAGCTGGATGAACACAGCAGGCCAAACAGCATCAGAGGAGCAGGAAGGCTGACCTTTCGGGCCTAGACCCTTCTTCAGAAATGGGGGAGGGGAAGGGTGTTCTGAAATAAATAGGGAGAGAGGGGGAGGCGGATAGAAGATGGATAGAGGAGAAGATAGGTGGAGAGGAGACAGACAGGTCAAAGAGGCGGGGTTGGAGCCAGTAAAGGTGAGTGTAGGTGGGGAGTTAGGGAGGAGATAGGTCAGTCCAGGGAGGACGGACAGGTCAAGGGGGTGGGATGAGGTTGGTAGGTAGGAGATGGGGGTGGGGTTTGAGGTGGGAGGAGGGGATAGGTGGGAGGAAGGACAGGTTAGGGAGGCAGGGAGGAGCTGGGCTGGTTTTGGGATGTGGTAGGGGGAGGGGAGATTTTGAAGCTTGTGAAGTCCACATTGATACCATTGGACTTCTTTGTTTTAAGCCGAAAGTGCTCTCTTCACATTTATTTCTGTGAAACATTCTTTACTTTTATTGTCAAACCTATAGTACAAGAAATTATCACAAAATAATAAGTATATGAAAGTTCAGGCCATCTTCTGTCTTCTGTAGGAAATGATGTAATTAACTGAAATGCCATGTTTGGTTTATCTGTGTACCGCCAACCAGACTTTATCCAGGCCAATTATGGACCCATCCAGTTATTGATCTTATTTGCACTTGTGATTTCACCTTCATAAATCACTTACAGCAAAATCCACAAACCAATTCAGAAAGATTGATTTCCATTGAATGGCATTGATGTGTTTGGACTGTTGAGTGAAACTCTTGCGAAAGGAAACAAGGTTTTTTTGTAGAAGAGACGTAATTAATTGTTGTTGTACTGCAGTCTGAGAGTTAATGTAATTTTGCCAATAATGTAAGCAGTCAGAGCCAGCAGATATACTTTCATATACCTCACTTCAAGTCTTTTTTTTCCCTTTAATTCATTCCTCCGAGAATTCAGTGAGGATAATTTGATGGTTGGTATCCTTGTTGGTATATTTAAAATTTCCAGTTGGATTCATATTTATATGTCCTTGGAAAATGAAGAAGCATATCTGTATTTATTTTACATTATTTATATTAATTTGACAGCATTGTGAGACTGCAAAGAAATCACCATTCCATTTTTGTTTCTTTTCCTTCATATCACTTTGTTTGTTCAACATTTTGCATTTAATATGTAATTGGTGCAAAAATACTTTCTCTTAGAAAACAATTTGCAATCAAACACAGAGTTATTGGACTGGTCTGCTCAGGAACAGAAGTAACTGAGCTCTGAAGTGACCATAATGCCACTCCAACCTATACACAGTGCCTTCTGTGCTTTCTTTTGTTTGAGGTAAGATGATGCATTTTCTATTTATAAGTTGTTGTGGAGCACAACCGAGAAATGAATGATGCTTAATCGAGATATAAGGTTGACTGTGTTTCGATGTTCTGGACAACTTGTGATTCGGATGAATTTTACTTAGGAAAACAGACATGACTCCTTGCATAGAACAAAGTTACAATTCCTCACCACTAACCCCCACCCACCAATACACCAACGTCACTTCTCCCCCCACTTCCCTCCCCTTTGTCCATACCTCCTCACCACTCCCCCACCACCAACATATCCTCAACACTTCTCCCTGCTACATCCACTTCTCCCCCTTCGTCACCCATCACCGTCCTCCCCTTGGTCCCTCACCACTTTCCCCACACCCCTACTACATCTTTCCCCAAAGCCCTCAACACTTTTCTGATACCCCAATCACGGCTGTCCTCACACAGTCCCCCAATGCTTTCCCCAACCCCTTCAGCACTTCTCCCACATTGCCCTGACCACTTTCCCAACAACACCCTCACCATTTTCTCCGTCATGCCACTTCCCCCATACTGCGTTCATCACTTTCCCACACCCTCCTGCCCACTTTCCCCAGACTCTCCCCATCACGTTCTCACGAATCACCCCAGGCAGGTGCAGCAATATTCACAGTGATTTTTATTCTGAATCCGTCACACTCTGTATATGATATTTCAAAAGTTTGTGAGACATTTAGAAATTTTTTTTATTGGTTTAAAACTCCAAAATTGTACATTCCAGCTTTACATTCAAACTGTAGTGTAACAGATTTTTTTTTATTTGGATTTTATCAAGTGCTTCCTTCTTTATTTCTTCCTTCTTAAATTTTAGATGTAAGCAGTTTGCAACTAATCCAATGCTTAATTACTTAAATGTATTAAGCCCAGTGCTACTGTCAGATTGTTCCCAAAATATTCCAAGCTTAATTTGTTTATAAAAGTTGCATGATCTCTCATGTAAAGGCTTAAGCTCAATTGTGAGATGTTTTAATATCCTTCTCTGGATTTTTTACAAACATATTGTTTAATTTTTTTTCATTTGTTGACAGGTAACCATTAATTATAACCAAAATGGTTGTGAAATGGTCCTAAAAGCACCGCTCTCCTTAATGAAAATACATAGAAGGTGATTTTCCACACTACAAAGGCTTACCTTGTTTGGTTCTGCCATTTTCTTTCTGCAAATCTGTGTCAAAATTAGAAAAAAAACTTGTGAAGCCCCTGCTCCTTATTTGGCATGAACAGCATCTACAGGCTGAAACTTGAAACTGTAATACTGCACATTTCAAACTACAAGCCTGTGTTGTAAAACTAACAGCATTAAAGGCACCAAAATCAACAAATGAGTAGCAGCAGAAAAAAAAGGAAATCGAAACAGAAACTGAAAAAACAGGAGACAGAAGCAAAACCAACAGAATAAATAAGGAAAAACTGCATTGTGTTCTATGTCAAAAAAGACAATTGGAAGTCAAACACTTACTTATAGATTGGACAACCATTGATACATTTACTGAACACCAACTGTGCAATCTATGTATGAGGTGGCACAGTAGCTCAATGGTTAGTACTGCTGCCTCACAGACCCAGAGATCCAATTTCAATTCCACTCTCGAGCGACTGTCTGTGTGGAGTCTGCATATTCTCCCTGTGTCCGTGTAGGTTTCCTTTGGTGCTCTGGTTTCCTCCCACACTAGATATGCAGGTTAGGTGGATTGGCCATGCTAAATTGCCCACAGTGTCTGGGGATATGCAGGCTAGGTGGATTGGCCATGAGATATGCTGGTTATGGAGATGGGGTGGGTCTGGGTGGAATGATCTTCAGAGGGTTAGTGTGGATTCAATGAGCCAAATGGCCTGCTTCCACACTGTAGTATGTCTCTGTATTTATATATACAGTTTATGAGAAAATGCTGTAGCAAAGATAATGAGTGGAACTCTTCTGAAAAGGAACTCGGAAGAGAGGCTCATTGAATTAGTCTGTCTCTACACCAACTCAAGTCTTTAGAAGTGATCTTTTAGCCAAGCTAAAGAGCCATATCATTGTTACATTACTTGAGGATGAATCCAAACAAGAAGTCAAAGTGGCAGGCCAACAACAATTACATTCTTTGGTGCAGCCAAAATTATTGCTGCAATCATCAAAGCATATCACTAGAGATAGTAGGAACTGCAGATGCTGGAAAATCTGAGACAACAAGGTGCAGAGCTGGATGAACACAGCAGGCCAAGCAGCATCATAGGACAGATGTGGTTTTTCTCCCATTTTCTTGATATCTATAGGTCATGGGACACCAATGGACATTGGGAATGCACATATAGGAAATCCAAACCCCAGAACAGAATAAGGTACAACACCACAACACTGGCGGCAAGGAAAGCCTTAAGAAAGAATGCAAATGCAAACACATCAACGAGAATCAGAATCAACTAAGTGAAAGGCCAATATCAGAGGATGACCAAGCTTTCCATAACGTTAATTTCTCACACCATGTCAATCGTAGAAGGTGAAAAGAATCTTTTAAGAATATTAATCCTGTATATGCAGGTGAACACACATTTAAAGTTAATATCAATATCAGAACTATTGCCAAAATATTGCCACAATGCATCCTGAAGGATTTCCGCAGCAAGTGACACTCCATGGTACAGCCTATGAGAACTGTTTCAGAGTGCTAATAGACTGCAGGTCATCGGAAAGCCATTACAGACTATGTATACTGAGTGGGGAATGACTCTTATCACAGCATCACTCTGCTATCCATTCTCAAATGATCTAGCAGAATGAATGGCATATAGTTTTGAATCAATCCTCATTTAATGTCAAGAAACATAATAAGATTTTCACATTGCATTTTTGTGCAACCTCCGTGAAGAAAGATTACTATCCCCAGCACAACATCATACTTGGAAGGCAAGAACAAATGATCTTGCCCAGCAACTAATTGTCTAAACATTCTGAAGCATATGAAGTTCTTCTTCAAAAGACAAAGGAAAATGAAAGAAATACACAACAAACAAGGATGTAGTGAATTGCCAAAAATATAAACAGGACGGTGTGAGTTAGAAATCCAAATCCAAATACTTGAGTACCTGCAAAAGTCTCTAGAGTACACAACCAGCCCAGATCAAACTATTCATCACTGATCATAGTGATGTTTTGTGATGGAAGAGGAGCTGGCTCAGACCAATGAATGACACATCAATCATGCCTAAAAATAGTAAGGAAGAAAACTCCGATGATGATTTTGTTATTGATAGCAGGTGACATCAGCCAGGTCAACATAAGTTGTCACACCTCCAAAGCAATACATTGAAGTTTGGAATGTTAATTTTTATAATTATCAAATTAACAAAACCTGCCTATTTACAACCATGAATATCTTTTGTGTTTTGTTTTTATCTCTGAGAAAATTTTATGACCACTATATTAGTATACCTTTAAGAGATGCTGTATGTCAGCATAGCATTAAGAATTATGCTCATAATATAGTCACTGTATCATAACATTTAATTTGAGGGTCTCATCTCACATCTTAATTGGGATCACATGAAGAATAAGACACTATTGAAAGCGTGCTGCTCCTCATAACCAAACTGCTTGATGTGAGCCCAGACACTGAAGTAGCTGTGGATGTAATATTTATCTATATTAGTGAGTTGTACTAAATATCTATTAGATTCCTCAATAGCACACTATCCACATCTCATTTCTTATGTCATTAAGGATACCATAAGGATTACCATATTAACTATAATGTCTTGCTAAAGGCAAAGTACACTTCATGTATATGTACAATAATATTCATGTATGTTATCAGTATGGCATCTTGTAATAAACCTATAACTTTAACTAGAAGTTGATGCAATTCAAAGAGTTTGAATGATAGCAATGCCATAATGCCTTTTTGGTTCACTTGCTGTGCAGGAAGGAGGAAAAGAAAGACTTATTTTCATTACCAAAAACTTCACAAAGCACTTCACCTTCCAAATGTACACAGAGCAAGCTCCCATAATTAGCAATGTGATGATGACCAAATAATAGATAAATGTCAACCACAGTGCTGAAGCTCTGGAGTCACATGTAGGAAATTTTGGGCCAAGAATAATGGCCCTTTGAGTCTGGACCACCATTTAATAGATCATAACTAATCTGGCTGTGGTCTCAGTTCCTATTTCTTATGTGTTTTCCCACAAACACCCTTTTCCTAGCACAGAGCTTTTACCCTGTGCAGCCATTTGTAATATTTTGGTATTACACAATTATACCAAATTTAAAATACAGATTGAAATAAGGAGATTCAATTTGGATTTAGGCATATATCCAGGTTTCTCTATGTAAGATCTAATTTTCTGTTGGGCTAACAAGATTGACATAAATCACTATTTTACCAAAATGTTGCTCTTACAGAATAGTCTTACTCTCCTAAATTAATTTTAAGTATGTGTTTAATTCAGTTGCATTCAAGACCAATGAGTTACCTCATTATAAAAAAAAACTTAACCGAAAAGATAATAGTTTCCTTGAATCTTTTTGTATCCAAGTCCTTGCATCCATGATATTGATTATAGTTCCCTTAAACCAATGTCTTTAATTAAGCTTCCTCATTATCTAGGTGATTAGTTCTAGAAACCTTCCAGTGTATGAACAATTATTCTGAGTTCAAAGGTTCAGTGGTCAAGAAAAATCATTGACAGTATTACAGACTTAAAGACCTTTCCTTATAGTTCTTGCCTCCCTTGTTGGCTTTAAAGCATTAAGGCCAATAATGAAACATTTCTTAATCACTGTAATGTACCTGTCTCCATTTTTTTTGTTACACAGGTTGCTACTACCTAATAACCTTTAAGACATTATAAAGATGAGTAGATGGAGATGCAGTAGTAATGTTGATAGGTTAGTAATTTGGAAGGCCAGACTAATAATCTGGGGGCATGATTTCAAATCCCACTGTGAGAATGACGAAATTTGAGGTCCGTAAACATCTGGATTCTGCAGCTTGAAAATCTATTTTTCTATATGCATTTGCAGATCTCACGAAGTCCTCACATTAACAAAAGATCCTTGAGCGGTCTTTTACCCTCAATAAGGATCATTTTATTTTCAGTTTTGTGCAAATTACTCTGAAATTTGGAATTTCAAATTCTGTCCCCACTCTTACATTATATTCAGTACATTTTATTGTTCCTGATTGTTTCATTAACTTAGTTGCAGAAGTTTGTTCTTTTTTGGAGACTGTATCAGAACCTTAAGGAAAAAAAAGGTTTACTTTAAATTGTAGTGATACCTTGTATGATCTCAACTCCCAAGCCATATAAAGTAGTTCATATTGATGTGTTTAGGCATGTCAAGGAATCATTCTACAGTGAATCTTCCTTGTGTATTCTACAAATTATTTACTTCCTGTGCTTCTGTATACACAGGGTTATTCTTAGGTCATTGGTTAGGAGGCAAATGTCTTGAGTCTTTTCTAATCTTTCAGGCTATATAAATGAAATGATGGGGTAATCTTTTCTTGTAGTGACCGGGTTGCAAAATGTATTCTCTTTACTGTTAAGTCTAGGAAAGAAGATAATCATGTCCAAGATACTGCTGTCACTTAACTATTCAAAAAAGCAAATTTCCTAACTTCATTAAATTTATACTTATTCATGATTAACACGTCTTGATGGATTGTACCAAGTGACTTAAACTAATTTTGGGTATAATAGTGCACCCTTTCCTGACCTTATTTGATAGTTCAATTTGCCTGCTTCTGTCTTATGCTATAGGTATGCTCATCCTATCCAATTAAGTTACATGCTCCATAATGTTATCATGCAATCTTAGCAGGAGCCCTGGAGGAATTTTATAATCTAATCTAATTACTTTTTCTTACTAAACACAAATCAGTAATTCCCTCACAGTTTGGTCCAATGTATTATTAATATATATCTTTAAATTTATTAAACTCTTCTTGGATCTCTTTTGAGTTTCATGCATATTGTCCACCCTTAATGTTTAATCAATTCGGGTTCTTCATTGCTTCAAATCATTACTTTAACTGCCTTTTACCTGCTATAATGTTCTCAACTTCATTATACTTTTTTTTTCAAAACTGTACTGATTCCAGAAAATAGTTTGAATACCATGGAGATTACCTAAGCTGCTGAACTCCCAAAATTTATTTGTGTTCAGCAATTCCCTTTGCTTTCTTCTCTCTGTGTTTGAGAATTTGACTACTGTCCCTAGAATACCTCATAGCAAACTGTTCCAGAATGCAAAGGACTTAAAGCTAATTAACCTCTTCTACTTGTAATGATATTGCTAAAAAATTTCTCTCAAAGATCTTGAATTCCAAAGGTCTTGAGAATTATTCTTAAGCAAATTCAATATAACCAATAGCTTTATTCCATATCAAGCTCCATTTCAACTCATGGGTTTTGTTTTTGTTTTCCTTTTGAATCTTAGTTTATAAACAAGTGTTGCACTGGACACATGAAGATAGAATCTTGTTTCCTTTATAATAAATTTGATTTGTTCTTACATGGGAATCCTTCAGATACTATTTTTCTTGAGGGCTTGAGCAGAAAATTGTACCAATAGACATTTGCTTGTGAATGTATGATACACGGACAGAATGTTTTTTAGGCCAGAGTCAGGACTGTTCAGTTACCTTTGGAGATAACACACATCTGTCGCAATCCTGAGTAAATGGTCTTGATAGCTGAGAAAGGACACCGGCCTAAACTGAGTATTTGATAACATCAGCCTTCCTCCACCTTGTGATGGCACTGTGACAGAGTGACATGGACATTTTAACTCAGGAACCTGAACTGCAACTGGGCTGAATTTTGCCAGACCATGGCAATGGAATTGGAGGTGGGGGAGGACTGGTAACGTATATGGACACTGTTTTGATATGCCTCCCATACAGCTTCCAGTTTTTGGGCAGCTTTCACAGGACCATTCATGAAAGCATGGAAGCAGAACCTGCTGAAAAGTGGCAGGCATCAAAATAAAGCTGTTAAGTTGGTTATTGACAGCATTCTTTTGTAGGATTATGAATCTCATAGAAGGTACATGGATCCTACAGAGTGTTGGCTCGGATGAGGTAACAGCACAGTGGGAAATTATTATTTCTACAAACCAATAGACATTAAGTTATGCAGAGTTTCCCAGTAGGAAATCTTAGAGCTGCCACTGGAAGAAAATTTTGTTGAAAAGTATTAGTGTTGGAATTAGTTTGTGTTTGGGTCCACTTTTTGATCCTATTTGGATATCGCTTTTTATAACTTATAGTGTGGTAAATTCATAATATTTTTCTACCTAAGATGAAATATAATCTGATTCTGATAGGTTTTGCAAAGTTTATCTTTTTTACGATATTATAAATACTCTACAGTGAGGTAATCCATCTCTCTCTGGTACAGACTGTTTCTTGTCTCTTCTTTAAGTCTAGAACATGACATCTGATGTCACTGTTGCTTCATCATATAAAATACTATCTCATTACTTGACAGAAAGACTGCTGAGGAAGTCAGAAATTGTAATGTTTTCTTCCAGAGCCACTGCAATGAGCAATGTAATAAAAATGTATGGTATATGGTTATTAATATCATTTAGAAACTTGGATTTTAAACTGGAAGAACAATGTATAGCTTTAAGTTTGATTTGTATTTCTAAATTATATGTGTTAAGAAGGAGGAATACATGGTTTTAGTTTCATTTTAGATTTGTTCTGTGGGTGGTACCAGGGTGTCTGGAGTTGTTTATAGCATTTTAAACATTGAAGTGAACAGTTTAGGACATTAGGAAAACAGGTTTAAAGAAATAAAAAAAAAAACTGCTATTACTAGTGTTTCAGAGATAGTAGAAACTGCAGATGCTGGAGAATCTGAGATAACAAGATGTAGATCTGGATGAACACAGCAGGCCAAGCAGCATCAGAGGAGCAGGAAAGCTGATCTAGGCCTGAAACGTCAGCTTTACTGCTCCTCTGATGCTGCTTGGCCTGCTGTGTTCATCTAGCTTTACACCTTGTTATCTGCTATTACTAGTGACAGGAGCCCAGAAAGACAGAAAGTCTGAAAAATGCAGAACAAACCAGGCAATGTATATGGTTTATTGAAAGAAAAAAGGGACCATAGGTGAGGTGCTGTTAGTTTAGTAGTCTCCAAACTGAAACAAAATCAAGAGTGACTTAAATATCTGTAAGAGAAAGTTCCAGGAATAGAAAGCTGTGAAAATAGAGTTTAAAGAACCCATGCTAAGTGAGCTGTGTTAACAGTTTGTTTAAGGGTCTAAGGAAATGAAACAAAATATTTTTAAAAATCAACCAAATGCTAAACTTTGTGAGAAAGAAAAAACTTACAGTTGTACCAACTGACAAGGTATTTTTACATGGAGTCAGGGTGATTCTTCATTGAGAGCCAAGTGTCTCTAAGTTGATGTTGATGTTAAAAAAATTGAATATTTCTTTCTAATATTTGTAATACAACCATTTAAAATACTCTTGTATAGTGTAATATTGTTCATCCTTTTGCCTTTTGTGCAATAGACTTTACGTTCTTTTGTTACAAGTACATTGGCAGCCTCTTGTGAATATGTTCATTGACTGACTACCATGATAGCAAAAATAAACTTATGATTTATCAAGCTCCATCTCACCCTGCATCTACCTTTTCTCTTTTCAGATAGTGATCCAATTCCATCTAGAAAGCATTGATTGACCCTGCTTCCTCCACACTCCCAGGCATTCAAACTACTCACTACATGAAAATGCTTTTTTTCCTCAGATTGCCTATGTTTTCTTTTTTTTAATTGCCTTGAATCTGCAAACTCCAATTTTTGATCCTTTCACAATTGGAAACAAT